AACACAGCTTTACCTTTACCATGGAAAGAGGAGTCATTAGACTTGGATCTAGGTCTGGCTTTAGTTAGAGTTCCTGTGTGGGTTTAGTCCGGCCTTAGTGACCTGAAATATGAATACCGTGAGAAACTTGACATCCAGATGGAACTTGAGAAACAGAATCATAATTAAGAAAGAACTTGTGTAGATGAACAAGTGTTGCCTTTTACTCAGTGGAAGCTGAACTGATCTTTTTTGATTTTATGATCCAAAAAATGATTTAAAATGATTTATGATTTTAAAATTTTATGATTTTGCCAGCAGACTCATGAGCAAAGAGGCAGAGTTTACATTCTGTGTTGGGTGATGGGAGGTCAGAGAGGTTGAGCAGAGCTCTGACAGCACATGACATAGTGGTCATTCCTTGCAAGCAGAAATGGTGTTCTTATTTCCAGGTGGTCCACCTGCAAACAACCAACAGGACTCAACAACAACCATCCCTGAGGAGGCAATAGGTATGAAATCCTCTGTCATTCCAGAGGGAGTTTCCAAAAGTGGTTGGGTTGACTGTCAAGGTGGTTTGAGAGGGGGTGTGGCTGGATTTTGTTCTGAAGGGTATCAAAGAGTGTAAACCTCTCTGATCTCAGGAGTACAAACCTTACCCTCATACCCAGAATGAGCTCAGGGAAAGGGACAGGAAGAACAAACCCTCTGGAAGCCCAGCACTGCAGGGAGCAGGATGGACAATGTGGCTCCATTGCCTTCCCGAGGGCCTCCATTGCCAGCCTTTGACCTCAGTGCAGTTTCCCTGGGGCTGTTTAGGAGCTGCTGAGCAAGGATGGGAAAGGCTGGATGATGTTTGCTGTGCTGCTCCCTGTCTGGCTCCTGTCTGGTGATTTTGGGCTACTATCAGCTCCAGAGCCTGTGGGGGATCCCAGTGCTCTGGTGACAATTCTCAGCAGGAGCACACAGGCATTTCTGTGGCTGGAATTGCCTCTCTGACCTCTCTTTTGTTGTGGCATCCTTTGGGCAGTGTGAACATGGATTTTCCACACCTCTTCTTCCCTTCTGCAGGCTGTCCCTCACCATGGAAAAAACATGGGAGAAAATGCTACTTCTTTTCTCCAGAGGGGAAAGGGAAGGACTGGAAATCGTGCCGTGACAACTGCACTGCCATGGGCTCAGACCTGGTGATCATTGAGAGCAGGGAAGAGCTGGTGAGATCCAACTGCTGGGGCAGCTGCTCAGGGGGCTGGAGCTGCCTGGCCAAGGGCTGAGCAGGGCCACTTGTGCCAGCTCCTGTCACATGTCCTTGGGCTCTGGGATGTGCTGCCAGCCATGGACACCCCAGTGGTGGCAGTGGGAGCAAAGCCCAGCCCAGGGAGAGGCCTCCTGGGGCTTGGAGTCCTGCCCCTGGGAGCTTCTGTGCCCAGGCCTGATGCCATGGGAAGGAGCAAACTCCCTGCCCAGCTGGCTGGGGTTTCACAGGGATTTAGCACACAGGCCAAGGAGGTTGAACAGACACTTCTTTGTGAGAGCCATGGCTGTGACAAACCTGAAAATGCTTTGCCATCCACATCAGAAGGAAAAAGTAACCCCAGGTATCAAGTCACACCAGTTAGACTACAAATTACACCTATAATGGCACCACAGGTGTATTATTCCATTTATTATATTCATAAGGTGCCTCTCTAATGGAGAAATTCATCCTCTGGTGCTGTGGGCAGAGGTGCTGTGGCTGGATGCACACTACACTCTCTATACTGGGAGATTAACACTGAGACTTCTGTGCCTCTCATGAAGAAAATGTCATTTTCATATTTTCCCATTGTTGGCTTCCTTTCCAGGATTACCTTCACTCACAATCACAACATGCATACTACTTACTTGGTCTCATATACTCTCCAGAGGAGAAGAAGTGGAAGTGGATCAACAACGTGGAACATGACCCAGCCATGTGAGCTCATTCCAGCAAGTCCCTGCCATGCAATGTCTGGCAAGGGGCAAATCCCAAAGCCAGAGCAAAGAGCAGAGAGCCCAAGGGAGATCAGGGACTGTGCTTTGGGGGAAGCAGATTCCTTGAGATCCAGGTGCTTCAGCACATGGCTGTGCCAAGGAAAGGGAGCCTTTCAGTGCCAGGGAACACTGGGCTGTCCTGTAGGGATGGCAGGAGAGGACACAGCTGTAGTTGTGCTGGGGAAGGAAGGATCTGAGTGGATGCAGTTCCCTGGGGAAAGGAAGGAGACAGGAGGCAGGGACAAGAGAGAGGCTGATGTCAGCACCATGGGCTGCAGGGGAGCAAAGCAGGGGAATGTTTCTGGGTGGGAAAGCATTGCCCAGAAACTCTTGTGGAGATGTGGGGGACAAAAGTGAGCAATGGGAGGGAGATTCCAGCAAGGCACTTCCTAATCTCAGTGACAGTAACAGAGCTTAGCAGATGCCACTCTGCCTTTGACTGCATGTCAGGATTGCAATCACATTTGACTTTTTTCCCCATATCAGGTTCGATACAGGCAGACATTATAGCGACTATCACTGCACGGCCATTGGATACGGTCAAGTAGGAACTGTACCTTGTTATGGATCCGATACAACACAAAACTTATGTGAAAAAGCTGCAACAGTGTCAAAAAGGCATCAGAAGGAGAGTTGAAAAGAAGAGGTCCAGGCTGATATGTTATCCCCAGCTTCCTGTAGGAAGGGTGGATGGGATGTGTCTCATTTCTCTTTAGCTGCCCAATCTCTGCTGCCAGGGACTCCTGCAGCCTCCCTCCAGACTCATGGCCCAGCTGAGCCCAGCCTTTCCCTGATGGTGTCTGAGCCTGGCTGCATCCCCTCTGCAAGAGCTGGCTCTGGCACACAGGACGAGTCAGGGACTGTCTCATGCCAGAGGTGGCACTTCCAGGCAGGCAGAGGCAGGGGAGAGGAGTCCAGGCTGGGGCCAGGGGTGATCCCAAAGAGATCCTGACTCTGCAAGTCACATCCATGCACAGCCCTGTGTTCCCAGCCCTGCCTGTGCCCAAGGAGTCCCTTCCCCACCTGGTCAGAGCCTGGCCTTGCCTGCAGCCACAAGGGAAGGGCAGCACAGATTTCTGGTTGGGATCTGGTGGGGAAGGGCAACCCCAGTCCTTGCTGTTCTTTGTTTCCTCTGCCTCTGTGTTGTACTTGTTCACACTTCTCTCATCTTGTGATCTAAGTTTTAAAATAAACTTAGACTTTATAGCTTGTGACTCTTCGTTTATCTCTCATCCCTACTGCAAGGGAAGGGTGAAACATTTCCTTCTCACTCTGGTGGGGTCAGGGTGTAATCCTGATGCCAAGGCCAGGCAATTCCTAAGAAATCTCAACCTGATCTCTCACTGCTTCTGTGCTCAGTGCCTCAGAGAATGCCAAGCTGGTTTAATTCTTGCTGCTGCTGGGCAATGAGTAACACTCCCTGGGCCAGGCCAGGCTGGCAGCACCAGCCACACAGGGGCACATCCTGGACCCAGGACTGGCTCCATTAGTGACCTTTAACAAGAAGAACCTGTGACAGCAACACCTCCAAGAGCTGATCCTCAGGCCTTGTCCTATTTCTATGGACCTGTATCCCAACTGTGTCTCAAGCCACCTGTGGTATTCAGGATACACTTGGTGGAAAAATGCTCTATCTTGACAAAAATCACAACCAAGGAATTTTAATTTTATTTTAGGAGAAAACAGTGAATGAAAGCAAGGTTCTTAACAGAAACCACCCCAAACCATTAAAAAGGCCAGAAGCTGTTGCATAGAAGTAACTAAGCAGAGACAGACATGAATAGACGTTTCAGAGACAAGTGATATTTTACATAAACAAGAGAAGTTCCTGCAGTACTGCACATGGAAACAATTTTATCTGGCTCTAAATGACAAATGTACCAACACAAGAAAAGGACCTCACTGCCAAATGGCCACTTCAGGGAGGATGCACTGCCAATGCAGATTGGCTGTCAGAACAGCAGGCAGGGTTCAGGACACACAAAGAACACCTTAAAGGTAGCACTGACAATGGTACAGAGCTTGCAGCAATCTCTGGCAGGTTTCCTTCTTAGCACATGCTGGAGTTTCTGGAACTGTTTTGGGTTTGTTGCTGCAAAGGCTTCAAATGGTGAGTGACTTTCCAAGGTGCTAAGTGTGATGTTTGCTCTGTTCTGTCTTGGGAAGTGGCCCATGGGAATCTCATGGGGTTTTAACAAGACCAGGTGCTGGTGCTGCACCTGGCTCAGGACAACCCCCGGGATCAATCCAGGCTGGGGATGAGCAGAGGGAGCAGCCCTGGCAGAAGGGCTTGGGGGTGCTGTGGGTGAGAGCTGGCCCTGCCCCAGCCCCTGTGCTAGGCTGCACCCAGAGCCCCAGGGCAGCAGGGGAGGGGGGATTCTGCCCCTCTGCCCCGCTCTGCTGAGACCCCCCTGCAGGGCTGCACCCAGCCCTGGGCCAGCACAGCAAGGACAGGGAGCTGCTGGAGCTACGACAGAGCAGGGACACCAAGGGATCAGAGGGATGGAGCAGCTCTGCTGGGAGGAAAGGCTCAGGGAATTGGGATTGTTCAGCCTGGAGAGGAGAAGGCTTTGGGGTGACCTCACTGTGGCCTTCCAGTGCCTGAAGGGAGCTTATAAAAAAAGAGGGAGAGAGACTTTTTACATGAGCAGATAGTGACAGGACAAGTGTGAACAGTTTTGAAACAGAAAAGATTTAGAGCATATATTAGGAAAAAGTTCTATACTCAGGGGATGGTGAGGCCCTGGCACAGGTTGCCCAGAGCAGCTGTGGCTGCCCCATCCCTGCAAGTGTCCAAGGCTGGATGGGGTTCTGGGATAGTGGAAGGTGTCCCTGCCTGTGGCAGAGGGGTCGGAATTAGATGAAGTCTATTCCAATCCAAACCATTCCATGATTCTATGAACAGTGAGTGTTAAAAGATAAACAAAGACTATTTGGGGTAGCAGCAGGCAGGAGGCAGCACCACAGGATCCAACTCTGACTTTTCAAGTCAGTCCCATGAGAGCCCTGTTGTAAAACGCTTTTCCCTTATGTTGTTTGCATTTTTCTCCCTACATCATGGCAATATTTTAAAGTAATTTTCCAGTGATAAAGTTTGGAGGGTATTTCTGCCTTTACCCTTGAAGAAATTCCTCTCTTGTTTATCAGCTTTCATTTTAGGAATTGTCTGGATCTTATTGGCCAAACTGATCAGGGAATGTAAAGGTGATGGTGAGTGTCTCAGTTACAAACATCTGGGGATAATAACAGTAGTTTTGGAGCATCAGATGATTCACAGCCATGTTGACAGCATTTCTCGTTTTTTTTTGCCAGCCTGGAGAATCTCCTGCAGCTGTTAGAATTACCTTCTGTGGGTGAGCATGAAGAGAGTACTCACTTCTGAATGCTCTGTGGTTAAAAGCCACAGTGCTATTTTTGACCTCAGTGACAGGCAGGACTGAATGGCAGGAGCCCAAACCACTCCTTCAGAGTTAATAAATGCTGAATAAGCTCTTCTTAGAATGCCAGCTGTGCACACACCCATGTTCCACTGTCTCCTTGTATGTAAAACGTGCTCGATATCAAGCAGGTACTGAACCTCCCTGCTGCCCTAATTCCACACCCCACTCTCATCCCCTGTCCCTCTGGATTCATGTCTTGCAAAACCTCTGGAAAAGTCTCCAGCTGGTGCTCTCTGGACCCATCACCTCTTCCCTCTCCTGGGGATCCTCAGTTCTCTAACCTCCCTGAAACCACCATGCCTTAAGCCTTGTCATACATATCTTTTGGATTCTTCTTCATCATTTTATCTTTCATTTTCTTCTCCAGTACCTTCCTGGGAATTTTGACCAGTCCAGCTCTCCCAGTTCAGTGCTTAAATGAACTCCTGCAGCAGGCAAAGGCTAAAATCAACTGCAATTCAAATTATAGTTATGGAAGTATAAAGTTTATATAGTTCTTTATAAACTGTAACCATTAACACCTGGAGATGATTTTCAGCAACTCACTGCTGAAAATTCTTGACTGCTCCAACACTGCTCAAAATCCAACACTGCTCAGAATCCTTGACAACGAAAGCAATTGGAGACTGCAGTGAAAACTTAATGTGCAACCCCTCATTCCCATGGTTTTCTGTTTGAAGTTTCCTTGGATGGATCCTTGAAGGATACTTATTTCGGATTAACTACTGCTGAATTCCTCAGCAGCCTCACAAAGAGCTCACATGATGACTTGGAGAGAGCTGTGCTCCTCAGGCTGTTTGAACATGCAACACAGCCCGGATCTGTTGCAAGTACAGCAGTTATTGTGCAAATGGATGATGAAATGGATATGTATGGCCCTGTCTTTCAAGCAATGCCGAAATTTCTATTGCACCACATCTGGCAAGCCAGCATCAGCCTTTATGCTCTTCTAGATAAAGCAAACCACTGGCCGGGTTTTCCAAAGAGGTTTTAAGTAATCAACGTTTAAATACGTGATTTTACTCTCCTCCTCCATACAAAAGAAGAAAACAAATAAATATGAACAAAACTGGAAAAAAAAAGAAAACCAAAACCAAATAAAAACCCCCATCAGACAAAACCAAACCAAACCAGAGTTTTCTCTCATTGTGTTAGTTCCTGGAATTTGCTGATGTCAGAGGATCCAGCGAGATCTTGCAGGAGACGACTTCTCCTTGAAAGCGTCCCCATTTCCTATTTTTCAGGAGTTGCGGAGTGAGTGTTCCCGGCACAGAGTAGCGCTCGGCACCGAGCCCACGCTCCGTGGCCATGCCCCTGGGGGCCGGCGCATCCCGGGGCTGGATCGGGGCCGGGAGCGAAGGGAGCGGGGCCGGGAGCGAAGGGAGCGAAGGAAGCGGGGCCGGGAGCGAAGGAAGCGGGGCCGGGAGCAAAGGGAGCGAAGGAAGCGGAGCCGGGAGCGAAGGGAGCGGGGCCGGGAGCGAAGGGAGCGGCTGCGCTCGGTGCGGCCCCGGCCGCTCCGGCCCCGTCAGCTGCGCGCCCATGGCGGGACACGGCACGGCTCGCCACAGCAAAGGTGACACCGACTCGGGGGACACCCAGGGGCCTCGCTGGGATGCGGGAGGGCGATCCCGGACATCCCTCGGGAGCGCAGGGCTGAGCCGCGGTGCCGGCCCCCGGAGCGCATCCCTGGGCGAGGGGAGCCGGGGATGCCGCAGCAGCGCTGGGATCGCTCCGTGCTGGCAGCGGAGCCGCTGCCGGGAGAGGGGACCCTCCTGAGCAGCCTCCCGGGACTCCTCGTCCCTGCCGCTGCCCCGACAGCCGCATACAGGGCAGTGGCAGGGCCGTGTGTGCTTCCAAAGCCCTGCAGGGGACAGGGGAACAGAAGGAGACTAAAAAGCTGCGGCTGTGGGATAAGGCTGGATATTTCTCAGGAGAAGTTTTGATCTCCAGAACCGATGGCTTTTCTTATTTCACTTATCCAAGCCGTGTTTAGGCACCCGGTCAGCATCAAACTTACTGTCCGCCGTCATTTTTCCCATGTTCGTTTTTTTCTTTTTGATCGCCTTAAGTTCTGGATGATATGACTAAAATTTATAGTAAGTTCGAGTTCTTGTTAGCTGAGTAGCCTTGTGAAGATAAGCTAAATGACTCTGCTCCCAGCCCACTCTCCACAGAGAGCTATGATATTTTTTAACATTTTCTTTGTGTGTCCTGAGCTCTTCTTCCCTGTCAGCTACTTCTTCTTTGTTGTTTTGGGTTGTTTTGTTGTGTTTTTTAATTCCTTACATTTATTTTTTCAGGTCTGTTCTCAAACATCTGGCTGTGGCGAGCTGTTGCTTGTGTCCTTACTGCTGCTGTCATTTTGATTTCATGTATTCAATTTGGTAAGTAAGGAATTTTAAAAGAAAATATAAGTAGCAATAGAAATTCCCAGAGTTTGGGGTTCTGTGCTCAGAGGGTGGTGAGGCCCTGGCACAGGTTTCCCAGAGCAGCTGTGGCTGCCCCATCCCTGGCAGTGTCCAAGGCCAGGCTGGATGGGGCTCTGAGTGACCTGGGATAGTGGAAGATGTCCCTGCCCATGGCAGGGGGGTGGAACAAAATGATCTTTGAAGTCACTTTCAACCCAAGCCACTCTGTAATTCTGTGTGAATCTGTGATTCCTGTTTGAAATCGTGGGCCAGTGCTGCAGAAATGACTCCACATGCTTCTGTGGGGTAAAGGAGGGCTCAGTTCAGTCTTAGTGTACTTTTGGCACCGAGTTTGCCACATGACTGTTGGTCTTAATCCAAGTTCAGGAAAACAAATAACAACAGGAAGATTATCCTACCAATCTGCAGTCCTTCAAAAATGACACTGTAATAAACAAAGTTACTAATTCAGCTGTGAGGAAGCAGCTGGAAAAACTGGAGTTGTTGGAATTTTTAAACTGTAGAGGAGTCCTTGGGTGATACTTTACTGTCACCTTCTCAGCTACTGCTACCAATGTGTCCCTGACCATCCTTTTAAGGATTTGTCAAGATGCAGAAGAGTGCAGGATCCAGAATATATCATTAGTTTACAATAATTATTCCAGCTGGGCAGAATTAACAGTGCTGTGGCTAGACTGGGATTATTTTAGATGATGCAGTCAGAAAATAAAACCTTTCCCAGCTGGAAGAAATGGGTAGATTGTCTTTTGTCTGTTCCCAGTAAACCCTCCTCCAGCCAAAGACCTTCCTGTGTGCCCTCCCCTGGAGCTGTGTCCACCAGGCTGGCTGTACTTCCAGAAGAAGTGTTACTACCTCTCAGACAGTGAAGCTGACTGGAACTCCAGCCAGAGCAACTGCTCTTCCCACAACGCTTCCCTCCTGGTTATTGAAAATCCTCAGGAGCTGGTAAGGGAACCAAAGGAGGATCCTGTTTTTCCCCCAGGTCGCTTCCAGGGAACTGCATCTCCAGCCTCCTCAGCTGAACAGTCAGGAAGCTGATGTAAGACCACAATGAGTCACAGCCCGCAGAAAAGTTTGTGCCTCTTCTCCCTGAAAACAGGAAACATCAGTTTGAGCAGTTGATGTTTTAGGAAATATGTGAGTGCTTGTCTGAATTAAATGTGGTGCTGCTCACAGCTATAAATACTCATATTGAAGGCTTCTATCGGGATAAACTCTGTTGCATCTCATTTATCTTCAATTAAACAACTGTTTTCTCATATTGAGATAGATTAATGACACACAAGTTGGTTAATATGCTAATTGTGACCTTTGGAGTTACGAGATAGTTACCCAAAGTGCAGCTTGGAGCATTTTTTTTCCTGTATTATGCCACAATATTAGGAAAGAGTCCACCCTGCACAAAGGAGAATATATTCTTCTACATATGCTCCAGACCTTGATAGCAGACCTTGATATTTTAAAATAGCCTCTGTCTAGATCAGTCAACCCTATCCCAGTCACCAGTCTCTGTATATTTAGGTTTTAATATTGTTTCTTTTGAAGGAAAGGCTAGATTGTTGTTTTGCTTTTGCCCTGGATCAAAGACTTTGTATTTTGATAGTTGGACTGAAAACGCAGCTTTTCTTATGTGGGTTTATTCCTGCAGAATTTTATGATGAAGATAACAAAGCAAGACCCATGGATTGGACTCTATAAAAGAAACGAGGAGTTCTTTTGGGTAAATGGAAAACCATTAGACAATGAACTGTAAGTTGATATGGACGGGTTTTGCTGATGATATTTGATTATAGGGGAGTAAGAAAAAGAATACAGAAATAGTGACTTGTAGGAAATATCTGTTATTATGTTGAAGGGATGATTATGGAGAGGGTATGGAATGAAATGAAGGTTTCACATGGCATTGTTAAAACTGTGGCAGATGAAAGGGGATAAATTTGTAATGTTGAGAAGCAATATGAGGCAAGCTTATCAGGCTTACAGTAACAGACATTAGAGAAAGTGAAAGTTAAACCAAGAGACATCAACATAGCAAAGCAATGGGGAGAGGAAGGGAATATTACAGTAACACAAATTCCTCATTATAGAATATGTTTTGCAAAAATACAAACCTGCATGTAAGCTGTGTGAGGTTTATAGCAAAGAGATTTGGGAGACTGATGAGACATGTTTTCATTTTCATAGAATGTTCCTCTGAAAGAGGCTGCTGGAGGGAAAGGAAGATGTGAATTTATGTTGCATGAGCTGCTCTGTGGCCAGGGCCCTGTGCTCTCTTCCTCTCCCTGGCAGCCATCCCATCTCCTCAGAGGCTGCTGCAGCTCATCCTGGAGCAGCTGCTGGAAGGAGTTGGCAGAAATACCATCGATAGACATAAGCACTGAGATTTCATAAATCTGAGATTACCTTAAAAGTAAAAATTTAAATATCTGTGGCATTATTGATGATGTGTGACTATACTCACCTCATCCCCAAGCCCTGAAGGCTTGATCTGACAAAGGCATTTAATGTGAGATGTGAGGAACACGTGAGCACCACAAATTGAAAACTGCAGTCCTTCCCCCTCATTTATCCCCTGTCTGCAAAACAAACATCCACTGACGCTTTCATTTTCAGTGAGGTTCTTCCCATTCTTAGACTTCTGCCTCGCTGCTTGCCTCAAACTGCCCCTCCTGAAGGGGAGGCAGACACCTTGATTTCTAAGCTCAGGTGTTATTGCCCTGGTGGGGATTTGTCCCTTGGCTTTTTCAGAGACCATTCCAGTTTGCTTGGCCTATCCACAGAACTCTATAGCACTTTGTTTGAAAACAGAGTTGTTGGAGGAGTCCCTTAGCTCTGATGTAGAGACACCTACGGTGTGGAAACTGAGGTTTTCTTCTTGGTTTCCCCCCACCCCCTTAACCATGGTGCCTTTTGGGTTCTGAGGAAGGGAGAAATGAGAGGTGCATTTGCTTCAGAGCTTCTGCTGAAACCTTTCAGCTGTATAGGAGGATGTGGAAGTGCGAGGTGGTGGTGCCCATCTTGATGGCACAGCATCCCTGAAGGGCAAACCTGAATTTCAGTCTCTGTTCTAAGGGTGTGTTTCACATAAGTGACCACCAAACAACATGCAGGAGTACTACAAATCCTGATTTTTGTATTCTGGGCACAAGATACCATTAAGAAAAGACAATCTCCATGGTGTTCTCTTCAAGGCACAAAACATCATCCTCCTGTGGTGCCTTGCCTGAGATAAATCCGGCTTTCTTCAAAGAGAACCTGAGATGCCTGGAGCTGCCTTTGCTCTGCTGCCATATTTGATGGTGGGTGTCCAAGTAATCCTGTCTTCCCTTCTCCCTGACAGGTTTGAAGTAAAAGGCTCTGGAAGCTGTGCCTATCTGGAGTCCAAAGGAGTCTCAGTCTCAGGATGTTATTTAACCAGGAAATGGGTCTGTAGCTTGAATATCAACTCAGCACAATAACAGTGGACAAAGCCACCAGCCCTGACACTCAGAGCTCTGATATGATGCCTACACAGGCTATGTCTAAACTTTGGGACCCAGGAATGTGTCCCAGCTCTTACCTGCAGATGAATGACTTTTTTGGTAGCCAGAATTCTCCACCCAAGGAGGAAGTCTTTAAAGATACAGTTTAAAAGGCTCTCTTCAGCATCTTGATAAGTCATTTCCTTGCCCCATTTTTCCAGCTACTGCTCAGCTGTAGTTTCTTTTTGTTGTGCCATCAGTATTTCTTCCATTTACTCTTCTCTTGTAGGAGCAGCTGCTCTTTTTCTCCCTTTTGGGTATGCAGCTGGAGGTTTCTGTTCTGCTTTTCCTTTTGCCAGGCTCTGTGTGCAGGGATGGGTGGTGAAGTAGGTTTGTCTGGAGGGCTGCCAGTGCCTCGTGGATACAGGGCAATGCAGAAGTGAACACTGTTGTTTCAGAGAGGATCACAGCAAATTCCTCTCTTTCCATTTGATGGGATGCACCTTGCACTGTATTCCATGTTTTGTTAATGTTACGTTACTTTAATTTTGTTAAATCTTGGTGATAACACTGTCAAGGTAACTTGTGTAGCTGCACTGCACCTGAAATTATTCTCACAACACTTTCTTTAGGCAAAAGAAGGTCACAAGAGATAAGAATATTTATTTACCTGAGCATCTGCACTGATGGGGGGGAGAAGAGTTGGAAGAGTGACAGTGAAGCCGCAGGCATTCATGTATAAAGATGAAAATAGACCTTGGTGCAAGGAGGCAAAATCAGGAGAAGGGAATGAGAGAATTAACATCAATGGATGTTTCTCTGTGTTTTCCTCATGCCCTGTGCCTGTCATGGTGTGAGGCTTCTGAGCAAGGGGGACATTTCCAGATGGACAGTCAGTGTTTCCTTGTGTGGGTGGCATTTTCAGCAGCAGCCTCCAGTGCTGTTGGATTGCTGGGAGCCTGAACAGAATTAGGGCTCAATCCCTCTGATTGTCTGAGTCCCACTCATGTCTAGCAGGTCATCCAAAGGTTAAAAGTGTCGTTTCACCCAGAGGAAGAAAATTTTCCTGGAAAGAATGTAACTATCAAGTTTCTAGAGAAGGAAGAATAGGAAGTTCACCTTCATTATTTTCTGTGACAGGACTTGACTGTAGCAGGACCATGCACTGTCCATGGGCATTTCAGCAACTTGTGACTTTCAGATGTTTATTTAAATATAATCACTAATTTTTCTGGATTACCCTTTTCTTAATTGCTTGCATTCTTTATAGGCACAGTAACAGGACTCTACATTATGAAAAGCCCAATTATGTATTAATTTACATGTTGGGGGGAGGGTGTTCTGCAATGTTTTTAAATTAACCTGATTCTGAAGGATACGGTATGTGCAATAGTCCTGAAAAGATACTTAATAAATATCTTTACAGACCCCCTGAATTACAGTGGTTTGTATCTTAATATTGGGAGATTAAAAGTATTTTTTATCTCAGGCACCATTTCAGTGGAAAAAAAAAAATGAAGCGAAGTAAAATATTCAGGTTTTGAACATGAAAAAATCTTTAATCATAATGTTGGGGCTGGCATGGAACAGGACATTTGATCCGAAAAAGACATCTTTTCCCTTTCTAACACCTCATAATGTGTCAGACTTTTAACAAAAGGTTACAGTGAAAGCTCTTCTGGAATCTGACTCCTCAGGGATGCAATGAACATGTTCTTCAGTGATGTTAAGAAAAGAAGGGTCAAGCTGCAAACTCTGCCAACTTGCCTTACTCAGAGTGGAGTTTGATGAAGTACTTCAATGGTAATTTATTTTTCTTTTTTCTTTTTAAATAAATGACTGCTTAAATTGTAGGTAAGAACTTCAGTAAGACCCTGCAAAATCTTGTTTAATTACGTGAATAACAGCAAGAAGGCCCAAATAGTAGGTGTTTCATGAATATTGTTAAAACCTTAGCACCATAACTAATTTGAGAGAAGCCAGCATGCAGGAGTTTGTTTTTGTTGTTAAATTCAGCATGAATCAAGAAAGATCTGCCATAAAACCAGCAATTGTCAACTCCACTGCATGGAGAAAGGTGTGCTGTGAGTGCCCTGTGAAAATTTCTCAGCAGTGAGAAATTATTTCTCTAGAAAGCATGTATTATATAGGTATAGATGATTCTCTTACTCATTTCAGACTCTCTCTTTTTCTTTGTTTCTCTGTCTAGAATGAAGAAACCAATCCTCTTCCCCCATGTGCTGTGCTGCGTTTGGGGGATTTTTGTTGTTTCCTTTTACATAACAGCAGTTTCTCACGAGTCTTGAGCTGCTAATGCTGCATTCTGTGGGGTAAATCTGTGTTGGGGTTTTTTTGTTGTTCTTGTTTCAAGGGAAGTCCCTGAGGGTACAGTTCACTTTTTAATCTGCAGCCCTAAAGTGCTGGACATTAACCCTCCCCAGGCATGAAAAAAACATCTCTGTGAAACTGCAGCTGCCTTTATTTGTGTGCATCACAGCAAAGATGAGGTAAAGGCTCACCATCTCCAAAGCCACATTGGACTTGTTTCTCTTTCTCATTGCTATAAGGACTTACATTCCAGTTGGTGCCATTTTTGTTAGAGTAGCACCTTCAATTCATGACATTTCTTCATTCTTGTCAAATATGTGACTCTGATAAAGGCACTAGCATTTTTGTGTTCTAGACCCAGAAATAGCATTCATTCATGACATTTCAATGCCTAAGTAATGCATTTACTGAGTGCACTCCCAGGCATTAATTTCACCAGTCTTTGGCATCTCATCATACCATAACTGTGGTTGGAATTTACAATGCAAAGGGACAAAATACAGGTGGAGAGAAAGGTTATCACCTTTATTTCCTTGCTCTGCAATGTTGTCCTACAGTCCAAGCCCCTTCCCTAGTTAATCCCTTGAGATTCCAAGGCTCAGCACCAGAAGAAGATGGGAGCAATCAGCACATTAACTACAAGTGTTACAGGTCACTCCATGCCTGGTGTGCTGTCTACACCCAGTAGCTGTGCAGCAGCTTTGAATAAGACACTGTCCAATAAATGCATTTTTTTTCCAACCCTCAAGCGGCTTCTGTGAGTCACAATTATACCCCAAGGGAAAAAAAAAAAAACAAAAACCAAAACCACAGACTTCAGAAAACACTAAAATCCTGAAACCCAGATAAGAAGTCCTCAGCTCAGCAGCTGCCTGCGGGCAGAGGTGACAGCAGTGGGGCCAGCACACCCTCCATCCCCCACAGGGGCCATAATTCCTGCACATCACACAGGTCACATGCACAGCTCTCCTCTTCACCAGTATCTCTTCTCCTCTGACCTTCCCGAGGCAGCTGCTGCCAAAATCTGTCTGTGTGAAGGCTCAGCACCCCAAAATCCTCGTGTGGCAGCTTGCAGTCCTGTTGCAGGACCTGTCTTCTGACTTCTTAGGGAGCACAGCACAGCCAAGTGCAAATTTCCCTGCAAGTCTGATTATTTACATCACTAGTTGGTTTGTCTGTAAAATGGGTCTTCTGGCAAGAAGCTCTGCCTGTTGTGTGGAAACGTGGCTCAGAGCACCAGCAAAGTTGCTTTCTTCTTACAGATCCACTCCTTTAATGTCTGGCAGTTGTCTGCCTGGATCACGTTTTTCCTTCTGTAAACAGCACAGTTCTTGTCAGCGTCGATGCCTTTTAGAGCTGTCCTGCTGAGAGACCAAAAGGAATGCAATGGGTTGCTGAGTTTAAACTCAGCACTGGTTAAAATTCCTGGTGGTGCTCTGAGTGAGAGGGGTGGATGATGCCCACTCCATCACCCCCGTGAAGCACAGCAGCTGTGCAGAGGTGGTTTGGGCACCCCCAGCAGGGACTGCTGCCTTCTGGGGAATGGATGCTCGGGATTATCAGTGTTACAAGGATAAGGATCCTCCCCAAGCAGCCACAAGGCTGAAGAAAGCTGCACAGATCCCAGCCAGAGCTATGTGGCAGGCACCACCTTCAACAGAGGCAGGCAGCACATGGTCTGTAAAGTGAGAGAGTTTGTTGGTAGGGATTTCATCAGAAGTGTGGAATAATACTTCTGCATTAATAAATATATCAGCTGTGGCTGTGGTTGGTCCTGGAGGCAGAAATCAGTTTCCAAAAGTGCCCAGCAGGAACCTGTTGACCTGGAACTGGCCAAGAAATAGACTCTGAATAGGTACCTGAGGCTGCAGGGTTAGATCTGTGCTTTGGGTAATTAACTCAGATTCAGAATTGTATTTCCAAGCAGGGATACTACACTTTGCTTTTCCCAAAGACATCCTCCCCTAAAAATCATCACCTCTTTTCTTTTACTCCATCATGTTCCACTGAACTCCATGTTTTCTCCAAGTCTTCAATGTCCAAGCCAATCCATTTATATTTGGTACCTTTGTCTTTGCTGTCTATAAATTCCTGTGGAATGATAAGAAGGATGTTACCTGACAGAAGAGCTTTCCTGCTGTGCCCAGGTCATGGTCCTGCCTCATGCACAGCTTTTATTTCCTCTAGAAGAGCAAAGACAGGGATGCAGCCATGGCAGAGCAGCCCCTTAAATCAGCCCAAACACATGACCAGCTTCCCCTCTTCCCAGAGCCAAGTGGTGGAAACGAGTGGAAAGTCCCCAGCATTTCTTCTTCCCAGTCAAAACTACTCTGGCTTCCACATTTGGCATCTCTTGTGCTTCTTCTCTTCAGCTCTGCTCTGCTGACATTCCCAAACCCAGCTCCTGTGCAGGGAGTCAGATCCTTTCCCTGATGGGGCTCATGCTTGTCTACCATGTACTCTTGACATCCAGGCCATTTTCTCTTGGAGAAATGTTTAGCTGAGGCCTGTGACATGCTTTTAGGGCTGCTGCAAGACTCACCATCTCAATTTCATCCTCAATGACAAGCAGCTGGGATTTCCTGGCCAGGCAGTTTTTCTGGCTGTCCTCCCAGCTCCTGGCCTCCTCAGAGAAGAAGTAGCATCTGCTCCTGTGCAGCTGCCACCCAGGGGGACACAGCTCACACGTTGTCCCTGTGGGTGGACGGGGGAACCATTAGCTCCTACAATGGATGGAATTCCTGCCCCTGTTTATGAACCATTGTCTGGAAAGTGTTCTCCAGGATAAGAGGAGGATATATAGCATTTCTGACAGCAGTTCCTGGCAGAAAGGAATGTAATGAAAATACTGGAAACTTTATACCAAAAGAGGAGCAAGAGTATCACGATTAAAATGTTAGTTTAGATTTTGTTATCACTGCTCTGCAGGAGCACCACGCTTCCTGGGTGGCATCAGTGAGTTCCCATAAACTGCAGGGTGTCAGAGAAATGGGAACAGAGACAACAGAACTGTGCACACCACACATCCTCTATGCTGGAAAGGACTAACGTGCCTCACCCTGTCCATCTTCACACAGCTCCTCCATGAGCCATTTCAGGGGCCATGCTGGGATGGTCCTCTCTGAAGAAATGTCACTGCTGGTGCTATTCAGACCATACTGGTGCAAACTTTCTGAGTTTCCTGCTCTGCCCTTCAAAACTTGAGCAGCCCAAAGCCAAAAGAAATAATAAAATAAGAGGGAGAGGTCATGGTTAACAACAAGGATAAGGAAATGCAGTCTTTGTATCCAGAGCTGTACTGTGAATGTGAGGATGTCTCTGTGTACATTGCCTGGTATAGACACAGCTATGAGCAAACTCAGTGAGTAAAGCTCAGTGAGCAAAGCCCTTCTGAAAAGATGGTCATGGAATGGCCTGGAACACATGTTAAAGATCATTTCATTCCATCTCCTGCCATGGGCAGGGACACCTTCCACTATCCCAGGGTGTTCAGAGCCCCATCCAGCCTGGCCTTGGACACTTCCAGGGATGGGGCAGCCACAGCTTCTCTGGACAGCCTGTGCCAGGGCCTCATCAACCTCACAGGGAAGAGTTTCTTCCCCGTATCCAATCTAAACCTTCTCCCTGTCAGTGTGAAGCCATTCCCCCTTGTTCTGTCACTCCAAGCCCTTGCAGAGTCTCTCATTTCCTGTATTTGTGTGTAAGTTGACACCTTTTAGTGTAACACTAAGGGAATTTTTCTCTCAGCTCTTTCAGAGCTTTAATCATGTGTGCAATGAAGGGATGAAGCAGGAGGTAGGATCTACTCACTCTGCTTGGCTTGGGTGGCCACAATTCCCAGCAGGATGAGCACGAGGAGTGCCAGGACCAGTGCCACGTAGAACCAGGCTGAGCACCTGTGCTGGCAGCCTGCAGGGAGGCAGGAGGAAGAGCAGCTTAAAGTCCTGGCACTCTTAAAATTAATACTGGGGAAACAACAGAGAAATCATCTGCCCAAAATCAGTCTGCTGTCAGGAGGATGCAGTGGCATTTTATTTATTAAAAATCTGCATCCATTTTCCACACACAGAAGTGAAATCATGACTGGCATCCATTAATCAATGATTGTCAACCATTAAGAATTTGCCTTTTCTCCTTTGACTTATTTTTCTCAAAGGTAATTTCTCTAATTGCACAGGGTACAAATGCCTGCACAGACACCTCCTGGCCCAGGGAAGTGCATCAAAGCATCTCTCCAGCAGTTTGGCGTTCACCCTGTGTCACAGGGAAACACTCAGGAAGCTGCAGGACCTGAGGAACTTTGGGGTCAAGGTGCCAATGCCGCGAGACACAGACTTGCACTTCCATAACCTCGGTTTCCCTGACCTTGCCTGCATCAGATGAGCAACTGCTCCATTCTCTGGCTGCCTGATATATCTGATATAATGTTCCCTTTCCCTGGAAGGCAGGTCCTTCAGCACAGGGAGGGTGAGAATCACCAGGGCACTAATGGCACAGAGACCTGGGCATTACCCTGCTTCCAAAGCCAAATGCATCCCTGGGACTCTTCCACCACGAGAATTCTAAAAAAACATGGAATTTTACTTTGCTTTACTACATTTTCCATGTAGGGCACAAAGGCATTTTTAGAAACTATTTTAAAAACATCTCTCAATATTATTTTTAAAAGGAAAGTGTAAAATCTGAGAACCCAGGAAAAAAAGCATCAGATCAAATGAAAGATCTGCCCTTCATTGAGAGAGTGTACATAAAAGCTCTTGATAACAGGTTTCACTGTTGGGCAATAGGAAAAACTACATCTATAATTAGTAACCAAACAAAATTGCACAGTACCAGGAGCGGAAGTCTCTGCTCTGCTGTTCCTTTGGGGCTGGGGCTTCACATGCAGCTCAGCATATGTGATCGTGTTTCCTGTAAGGAAAGGTCAACATCGACATTTGTGGCTGTGCAAATCACCAAATGGAGGAACAATAAAGGCTGAGCCTGTATGAAAAGGGGTGTGTGTGTGTTTCCAGGGCTGCTTGTTCAGCGTTTTCCTCTTCCTAGGCAAGATGATGATTTACCACTTCCTCCTGCTGTCAGGCAGGAAAAGCCTCCTCCATCAGCTTTGAACTGCTGGGTGCTGCGTGGCTGGAGCAGGAGGCAGACAAACAGGCTGAAGGATGGGAAAGACCTGGATCCCATCCATGGCAAGTATCCCATCTGTTGCTAAGCCATCTCAGAAGGTACCACAGGGGCTGGAGGGGCACCAGAGCCATCACTGCTTTGTGGGGCAGAGAGATGCCACAAGGAAAACCAGCACTCAGAGAAATGCTGCTGCAGCAAGGTAATTCCTGGGGCATTCCTGACTTGTGTTTATCCCAGGATATTTCAGGTGGTGCCTGTAGCAGCAGAGGAATGGACATCCTTTTCCAGAAGCACATTACCAGAACAAAACCAAAAATGGCATTAAAATCTCAGGGTGTGGGTTCAAGGTGTGTGGATTCTTTCTGAACATGTTTTCAATATAATTTGCTGGGTATTTTGCAGAGCTACTGGTTAGTCCTATGGAAGGCATCTGGACCTTTAGGACACTGCTTTTGGTTCCATAAATGGAGAGATTTTATCCGTCTCTATCAAGAATAAGTTTCTGTGCTACCACCCTAGTTTGTGACCACTGGGGCTTTTAAAAAGAAGTGTTGTATTAAATTTCACTGATCAGGGGAAAACTTGGCAGAAGAAGAGAGTCTCATTAGGTTAAAAGGAGGCATTAGGTTAATATGAGAATTGTTGAAGTATGGAGAGGTTTTACAGTAAAAAAACCCACTGAGAACCTGATTGGAAAAAAAGAGTTATTCATATAGGGCAGACAATCCATGCTTAAGAGAATCTGACCTAACATACCTGGTTGTTTGTTTTATTTCAATTTATTAGTTAAATGAGCTACAGAAAATTTGTAAATTAAATGTAATTGTTCTCAAATCAAATGCCCTAAAAGTTTTTCCTCTTAGAATGTAAATAGTTTTCCAAAAACACTCAGGACCTTTAAATGCACTAGCCCTGTAAATGGAGGTACTTCTGAAATAAGTACTTTAGACATTCTGCTACTATTAATAAATAATTTGTCTTTCAAATGCACATTTATTCCTTCAAAGAATAAGTCTGTAAGAAAAAATCTTATCTATGCAAGCTAAATATTTAAACAAAATCATTTCTTCTATTGCAGTGTGTATGAGCAGATGATTATTTGAATATGAAGTCTTCAGAAGTCAGCAGGGGGTTCTAAAATACCACATAACCTTAATTCTGCCGGATGCTTCCTCACCCTCACCTAATTCAACAACAAGGTGGAGATCTCAGCCACTAAAACTGAAATTTCACTTCCCTGTGCCTGCTGTCAGGTACAGAAAAACATCTCTGTTTATTGGAAGCTTCTGCTTGGTGAATGTGCAGGCAGGGAGGGGGGGTTGTCCATTAGGGATTGGTGTGTCCAGATGTGGGCCAGCACATCCCAGGCTCTGGGGGAAGCTGGAGAGGCTCCAGGTGGACCTGGTCAACATCTGGAGCAGCCCAGGGGTTTAAGGAGGAGAATAAGGAGTTAAGGGCACAACCAAGGCTACAACCACTTGTGGGTTCGGTTGGTGATGGAATTGAACTCTCCTTGGTTTGCTCTTCTCCCAAGGGAAGTTCTGTGCAGCCACTCGCGATTCATAACCAGGCAACTCTCAAATTATCTGTGAGAGAACCGGGACACAAAAACTGCTGGAGTCTTTCTCTGGAAAATGAATTCTAGGTGTCTTTATTCTTGCTGGGATTTGGGAACACCTTCCTACTTTTGAAGCACATGCACAGCAAAAGCACCTGCACCTACCAAAGCCTGTGCACAGACAGTGCCACTGCTAAATTCTCCTCAACACACTCTGGCAGAGCATCCAAAAATCTCCTCGTCCTTGTTATTCAGAGACCTGAGTGACAGCTGGAGTCCAACTGTAAGTCCAAGCTCAATCAAATAAAATGTGTTTGAGTATAATCAGACATAAGAGTGGGGAAGTTGTGACTGGGAGCTATAAACAGTGAAGAAAAGATTCGTGAAGAGATTTTTGTCTCTGTATAATTGAGACAGCATAACCCAGACTTGTAGAAATACTGGGTGGGTCTCTGGTGCCCGTTTTTTAAAGGAGATGGAAGCACTGGAGTATGAACAGAAGAACATCTACAAAAATTATTAGCATTTTTGAGAAATATTTAAAGAGAAAAGGGCATTGAGAAATGACTTAATTACCACGGCCAGTAACTTCATGTGAGAAAATATCAAGAGTTAAAATCAGTTCAACAAAAGTTTACAAAGAGCCATCCACGTGTTAATGATAAATTTCATTGGAACTGGCCTGTCCAAAACTGAGCTTTTCCTTTAGGCAGCATGGACAAGGAATAGTTTTGGATTTCTTCTAATCAAGATTTGATGTCTGTCTCCCTTCACAAATAAGATTTATCACTTTGGATACTGGGTAAAATTCCAGGCAAGCCCTCTTTGTGTTGCACAGGTTACAGCAGTGCAAACGACATCCATGGGTGCATGAACACACAGTCTAAGGTACTATTTAATGTCATATATATAATAAATTGAACTCATTTTTACCTTTTGGCTACCAGTCTTGTAAAAATATATAAAAGGTATTGTTTTCTTCATTTAAGTGCATGTATTTGGAGCACCATCATCACTATTAATCTCCATTATAAGTAGAACATCTAAAAATGCTCATTACACAATGTTGTTTCCTTAAGGAATTAAATACATTATTTATAATGAAAGCATGAAAATATCCTTAGTCTCATGCCACAGGCATTTTCTATTTGCTCATAATAAGCTGTCATTCCTAGTAGATGTGATCCAGAATTTTGTCTAAATGCTTTCATGAATTAATAACATTTTTTTTCCAAGTAGTAGAAATGTCACTTCTTCGGAAAATTTAGTTCAAATAATCTCCTTACCCTGAATATTGGCTTAATCCTTTGGGGTTTTTTTACAAATATATGAAGCGATCACAGATTGATAACTTGATTCTGTAAAATCACCACTGGAAAATTGAAGAGAAAGAGCAGGAAGTTTTTTGGGGACATTCAGAACTTCCTTCAGGGACAGTGACTGCACTTTTGCTGCTTCTACTTCCCCGATTTACTGATTAATTCACTGCTCCTTTTCCATAATCATAACCAGTGATCTGATTTGTGGACCAGGCAGTATTCAGTGGAACATTGTCTTGATCGTGTTACTCATTTAAAAAGAAATATTATGCTCGTTATTCAACCACTGAACACTTTTTCTTTCTCATTCTGTTCCTTAAAGCCTGGCACTAGCCCTGAGCTGCTGCTCCTTGGTGGTTGTGATTTGGGAGCAGCTTGGCTGATCTGTACTGCGAGGACCTCGTCCACTATTCCAACTTCTTGTCCTTCCTACGGCATTCTTCTAGATGTACCCAATTTAAAATGTGAGAGAGAAAGAGAGAGAGAGCTCAAGACAGCAAACAAGAGGTTTTACCTGGGTTTACCTGCGTGCCCAAGAGGTTTTACCTGGGTTTGATGTCCCTGGAGGAGCGCGTGGCCTCTCCCTCGGCAGCATGGCCACGGCGGCGTAGGTGACATCCCCTGCCATCCGTGAGCTGTCCCCGGAGCTATGGAAACAGCCTGCCCCTCAGAACTATGGAAAAAGCAGATCTAACACAGTCATTTGCATCCTGTCTGAGCTTTGCTGCCTCCAAAACATGCGCCGAGGAAGGCTGAGAAACACAAAGAAAAAGGAACTTACCAAGTCACTTCTTTCAGTGCAACTTCAAAGCCTGTTTTCAGCTACTATTGTGTCTCTTCTTGCCCTTCAGAATGCAGGAGAAAATTAAGATTAAAGGCTATTAAAACCTATCATTTTCACTAATATATAAGAAAAAATCTTGTTGGTCAAAGCAGAGGAAATTCTCTAAGGAATGCCCAAAAATGGACTTACACAGGTGTGAAAGATTTGCTGGTTCTCACGAGAATAGAGAGAACAACTTTTGTGCTGTGGCTGTTTTGTGCATGATTTTACAAGAAATATATGTAACAGTATGTACTGGGGTTTTGGGGTTAATGTACCCAGGCAGCTTCAAAAATGTAACTCAAATTCTAACCTGCTCCACCCACAAAGTACTTTAATGGTTTAACAGCTGAATTTAGGTGATACTGATGATGCATTAACATAAATTCAAAATGAAATTTTAAAAAATATGATCAATGTTTTTTACAAGAATGTTTCCATACTTTACCGTAACAGTAGTTACAAGGAGCTGCTGCTCCTACATTGCTTGAACTATTCCCTGCTTGAGCCAACAACTCCACTGATTATTTATTACCTTGAACTCCTTTTTCATTACCCATATGTTTGCTGCAGAGTATACTGATGACAGTGTCTTTGTTCTCTATTTCAGGTCAGGGGGAAGCCTCACATTTTAATTGAAACATAAACACCTTCTAAAACCTAAAAACACATTCAGAACACGCAGACATGGAGTCCTGTGCATGACATTTCCTGCTAAGAGCTACACTCTTGGTTTTGTACCTTATTCCCACTTAGAAAATTCCCTCCAAGTTCAACACAGGGAAGGTCCACAAACTTACGTGGGTCTGTTGAAAATAATGTTTATACAGGCTGCTTGCAGGTTTTTGTTACATTCAAAGGGACCTGAAAAAAACCAAAGATTGGGGCTGTAATTTTATATTACTGACTTTTCCCTTCCAGTGCTCAACGCTGGTAACTGTGTTAAGTGCAGAAACAAAAAGGTTGGGGGGGGGAAGAAAAACCTTTGATAGTCATGGAACAGATTAGTCAGAAGTGCTGGCTGAGTATGATTTATAAGCAACGTATCTAAATCATGATGGGTTTATTATCTGATAATAAATCGATACTGTGCACTGCAGCCTGATGAGGTTTGTTTCATAGACACCTACATAGCAGCCATGTCACCAGGACTCACATGAAACACAGCTTTGTCCTCTGAATCAGTTTTCCCCTGAACTTCTCAGCATCCTTTACAGCAGGATAGTTAGGCTCTGAAATGGAAAAAAAACCCAACCAAAACCCAACCCTGAACCAAACCCCACTTTCCTTATTTGGGGTTTTTCTAATACTTTAGTCCATAAAGGAGAGTAAGAAGGCCAGACAGGTTGTTTGAATTCTCAGTCTCTTTCCATCACTGCTCACACTTCAGCAGTCTTTTCTCACATGATTGTCTCCTAAAGCAGTCACAGCCATCCAGAGGTAACCATGAACAGTCTTGAGGCCATTCCTTCTCATCCTGTCCCTGTTCCCTGGGAGCAGAGCCTGACATTCCCCCAGCTCCCCCTCCTGTCAGGGAGCTGTGCAGAGCCAGAAGGTCCCTCCTGAGCCTCCTTTTCCCCAGGCTGAGCTCCCTCTTCACAAGCTGTAATCTGGGTTGAGTTTAATTTATTGCATGAGCCACCCTTGCCTTGTGTCTTTTGTGTTTCCTCAGCCTCTTCTTCCCTCCCAGGAAATTAATCTGGGTTAATATGCAGAGTTTACAGAACCCTGTGAGGCCCCTAAAGCACCAGGGGCTGTGCATCAAACATCCCTATGTCCGGGGAGGGGGGAGTGGTGTTTTAGCCTTGAATTTTCAGACTTTTTGGACAGAACACGGAGATATCTGTGGGTCCAGACTCTCTTACAGCATCTGCAAGGAAAGCTGGTGGGATTTTTGTGTAGGATTTCTCTGCACATCACACAGAGCTTGACAGCCTGGAGCTCCAGGGCCACTGTGGAGTAGGCAAAGGGATGTGAGCTCGTGTCATTCCCCATCCTGACGTGCTCCTGGGTGCACACAGATTCCCCCCTTCCACCTGCCAGGCCTGGGTGATGTCACTGAGTGATGTTCTGGTGTCAGCACAGTCACCAGCTCCAGCCATGCACAGAACAAACGTGGTGACAACTGCAGATGTCACCTCTTCTTGTGGGTGTGACAGCATCACCTCCATCGCATGTGGAGGCAAAGGCAGGCTGAAAACACTGATGTGGGCTGCAAAACAGAATCCAGCAAAGCAGAATTCAGCCCCTCCTGCCACAGAACAGGACTCCAGCTGCCTCATAATGCACATTTGAAAGAATTTGAACTGCTGGTCTCTAACAATAAATTGCAGTTCCCAAAGGCTGAGGTGTAACACAGAGGCTTCCAGCCCAAACTGAAGGAGTCCCATGAGTAAATGTCCAGTTTAGGTTTCAATTCTAAACTTCTGCTGTGTCATAGCAGAGCCTGTTTGTATGATGAGGTGCGAAAGCAGCACCCAGAAAGCATGACCAGAGCTAGGGCTGAAACAAAGACACCTATTACCATAAAAGAATAGGTGGTGGTGTGTGTTATCCCACACTGCAGCAGTCATTTAGACTTTTAAATTCACGGGCTGAAATTTATTTATGTATTTTGTTAGTCCTTTCCTGTTGTGCTCTCTTCTGCCATACAGACACAGCCTGCCTTGCTTCAGGTCTAGTAGAGCTCCTGTCTCTTCCCCTCGTGGCTGAAAAAGTTTGGGTTTTGGGTATCACTTTAACCTGTGTGTCTGAGGGCAAAGAAGAGCATCAATTCCAGGATGCAGGTAGAAGGGCAAAAATAAAAGGACTGGCCTGAGCCCATCAGCAGGCCAGGGGCAGGGCTAGAAGAATGCTCAGCACTTCTGTCCCTCGGCACAACACCCTGTTGTGAAAGTGTGCTGGTTTGGGCTGGGACAGAGCTCATTTCATTCCCTGGAGCTACCATGGATTTGTGCTGGAAGCAGTGTGGGTAACACAGGGGTTACTATCACTGCTCAGCAGTGATAACACAGCATCTTTCTGCTGCTCACCCCACCCCAGCAGCCAGGAGGCTGCTCAGGAGCTGGGAGGGGACACAGGTGGGACAGCTGGCCCCAATTGACCAAAGAGATTTCCCATATGGCATCAGGATCAGTATTTAAAGCTGGGGGAAGAAGGAAGAGAGGGTGTTTTGAGTGCTGATGTTTCCCATATCACAGTTGTGTGTGATGGAGCCCTGCTCTCCTGGAGATGGCTGAGCACCTGCTGCCCATGGGAATCTGTGAGATAAATCCTTCTTTTGGCTTTTCTTGTGTGTGCAGCTTTTTCTCTATCAGAGTGTTATCTCAACCCAAGAGCTTTCTCACTTTTACCCTTCTGGTTCTCCTCCCCATCCCCCAGGTGTGAGGGGCTGAGCTGCTGATGGGGTTAACCATGACAGCAGGCCAGGCTGATTGCTGATATCACATAGATTTGTGGGTTTTTGCTTCAAAAACTGTAAAACCTGACTCCAGATTTATCAGCAGTTCCCTTCTCTACATGTATTCCAGAGCTCTTTCTCTACGTACTCACATTGACTTAGAAATCCTTTATCCATTATTGCATTTATTTTATGTCAAAGTGCTTTTGGGTAAAAATTTCTTTCTGCTTGTGAAATTGGAAAGCAAAGTGGTTGTAAAAGTGGGACCACCTATAAATTGTGTAGATTGACTGGACAAATGGTGCTTGTAAGCACACACAGCTTACAATTCTTTCAGAAGTTGTTGGAATTAGCACCTCGTTGCAGGAATGAAGAACAAAGAGCACTCCCTTCCACAAAACTTCCAGTGTTCTCTAGCCTTATTTCTTTACGAGCATGTGACATCTTTACATTTTCCCCAGGAGGCAGAAGTGCAACTATGAATGAATTTTTCTTGATAATTTCAGGATTCAAAAACTCTTCTCACATTGGCCTCAGAACAGATTCATATAACAATGCAGCTGATACAGCCCCTAGATTATGATGTTTGCATTGGAGGAGGGGTTAAACTTAAGAAAAGTTTGATGTATAAGAATCTAACTTGAGCAACAAAGAGTGAGTCAGAGTGAGCAGTAAGACTGTGTATTGCTTGGATGGAATGAACATGTTTGAATTAGTTCAGGCTGTAATATTTGCTAGCAGTGAACTGCAGCAGTGGGACTGGACAAGGAGCCCAAGTGAAAAGCAGGGTGTCAACAGGAGTTCCCAGTGCTGTGTGGATCTTGAATATGGAAAAACAAGGAAGTAGAAAGAAGAGCAAGCAATACTTTTCAATCCTGAGTTTATCACCACTGAGAGGTTTCAGTAGAGAATCCCAGGGTGGGTCAGGCTGAAGGGACCACAGTGGGTCACTGGTGCCACCTCCCTGCTCCAGCAGGGCCATCCCAGGGCACGGGATTGTGTCCAGACTGGAATATCTCCTGTGAGGGAGACTCCACAGCCTCTCTGGTCTCTGTTCAGGGCTCAGTCCCTGCCCAGGACAGAAGTTGTGCCTCCTGTCAGTGGAGCCCCCTGGGCTCAGTCCCTGCCCGTGGCTCTGGTGCCATTGCTGGGCCCTGCTCGGAGCCCTCCCTGCACACAGGGACACCCAGGGCTGATGCTCCAGACCCCAAATCACCTCCACAGCCTCTGCTGGCCCCAGTCCAGGAGCTCTCAGTTAAATTGGAATAATGGACAATAACATTGCACACAATTGATCCTGCTATGCTGAGTAATTGATGTTGGCTCTTGATTTCTCTTCTGTTAAAAATTGTTCTTACATAAATGTCCAGCTAATATTGCTCATGAACTGAACATCAGAGCTAATGAACTGGATGTCTAAGTTCTCTGAGGTTTGGGATTTTATGATTTGGGAGGATCTTCCCTGGGACACTTCAAAGAAATAAAGTTTAGCAAGAGAAGCTTGAAAGCCTTCCAGCAC